TTGGGCAGTCCACCTCCAGGCGGCGCCTTAGGCGCAGGCGCGGAGAAAGTGCCTCCTGCCGGTGCGGCACTGTGGCCGACCGCTGGTGACTTCGCCATGGCACTGTGGCCAGGCTCCGGCGCTGCAAGAACCTTCGGTGCAGCCTTCGCCGTTGGGGGCGCCTTCTTAGGCAGCTGCCCCTCTGCTGCGGCCATCGCGGTGGGCTCCGTGTCTCCTACGGACGTGCCTACCATGCAATGGTTCGGAAACGCTACGCTTATGCGTCGCTTGGTGTTATTGCGATTCTCAGCTGACGTTGTAAAGCTGTGACCGTGGCCTACGCCTACAGTGCTATGACCATGGCCTGCATCTACAGTGCTGTGACTGCGACTTGTTGCCACTGCATCATCTGCCGCTGTTGCATCTCGGGGTGATCCGCTCACGGACTCTGAGTGAGCTAATGCGGCGGCGGCGGCAGACCTAAATATAGGAACTGGCGGCGAGGGGATTTGGAAGCTCTTTATGAGACGGGGTTGTTTAACCTGGGTCAAGCCTTCTGTTATGTTTATGCATAACAGCCCTGAGTCATGTGTCCGACACAGCTTGATCCTAATGATGGTATCCTCTGAAGGAAGTCGAACACCACACTCACCAAACCGTAGATCTTTGGTTATACCAAGCTGGGCCTGCGCGTAAAGGGACAAGAGGAGAGGGGCTGTACCCTTAATCTCATGTGAATCAAGGACGCCCGGAACTCTCAAGTCCTGCTCCAATCCCATTATAGAGAAAGGTATGGTCCTGCTACCCAAGGTCTCGGTAGCGCCGCTAAGACCCTTGAAGGTACGATTGCCCTCAGGTTTAAACCTCGTGCTGTAACCGAAGTTCGCAAGTTTCCCCGCCGCGTTTGCTATCCAATCGCTACCGTGAACAGTCGAGTTACAGCCCTCATCCAACACGGCGTATACGTGCTTATCCTCGTAGATATTTACTACGGGCAAATCAACCAAAGCCGGATGGATATCTGTGACCCCCTCAGTAAAAGCCACGAAGGCGTGCCTCGTCGCGGAGGCCCTCGAGGAGCGCGATCTCGCCGACGCCACTTCCCAACTGTTGTTGGTCGATGGACGCAGAGTGATCTCTAAGGCCTCTTGCAGGTATGCGAGAAGGTCACCGCGGGATATCACGGGCTCGGTTACAAAGTGACCCTCTATGGTCTCTTGAAACTGGGCAATAGCCGGAACTACTACCTCTACGGGGAGGCTATCCCCCGTGCTGCCGACTATGCTGCGCAGAAGATCGAAGTCCAGGGTGTTGGACTCCCGCAGCACTGTGGCTGCGTCATCCCTAGCCTTTCGCTCGGTCTGCGGCTGCTCATCTAGAAGCATCCCACAAAGCTTGCACTTAATGCGGGAGGTCTTCCTGCTGCTACCCGACCTCTCGGTGGAGGTGTGGGGGCATGTGGCCTGATCTATGACAGGCTTCTCTTTCCTTGTCTTGGTGACGGTGCCGCATTTCTTACAGGTCCGCATGTCTATGTATGCGTTACTCCCCGACTTGTTGAACTCCTTGCAACCTCCCCGGCATTTCCGGGGGCCTTCGCTGGACGAAGCAGCTGACGCGGCGAGGCGAACCTCGGGCTGGAAGGGTTCAGGCGGGGGTTCCTGGCTGAGAGGGACATCCCTTCTCGTGATGCTAATGGGGTTATCATCACGCACATCAAAGTACTCCGTGACCCAATCCAAGAAATCGGCCAAATTTATGGATGGGCACTTCTGCGTGCGTCCCCAAAGAACATACCCAGGAAACGTATACAAGACACGCTCATAAGTCAGACCCTTATGCTGACCAAAGGAGAAAACGCGATCGGAACCCTCAGGCGGGCTGTCACGCATGATCCTAGCGGCGGCTGTGCGCCGAAGCTGTGGTGAGAAGAGGGTTTCATTGCCGCGGCCTTTGCCGGTATTGGTCTTTGAGGGAGTCAGCTCAAGGTTGGCTGGGTAACCCTCGAGCCTACCAGCGCTCGCATTCGACAGATGGACACACTCTGTGTCATCCTCCTCCACTGCGGCGAAATACGCCTGAGGCTTCGGCGCCGCCGACTTTGCGGCTGCATTGGCAGTTCCCCCAGACTGTGCTGGGGTTGCGGTGCCCTTGGGGCCATTGCCCTTACCGCTAAACTTGCAGGCAGCATCTCCGGCCCAATGGCCGATCACACCGCACTTCAGGCACCTACTCTTTGCCTTAAGCTCTGCTAACTTGGCCTTACGGTCAGCAATGGTCAAATTGCTACGCACGACCTTCCCTCCGGATTTTCCGGGGGACTTGCCCTTGTTCTTCCCCTTTCCTTTTCCTTTCGCCTGGGCAAAGGCGGTCTGTGCCGCGTACGCAAGCTGAACTGACTCGGCATAGGAATCATCCAAATCGTCAATTTCAGCTTCATATGCCACCGCCGTATAGGCGTTGAGTTGCAATGCTAGATCCTCATCATCAATCCATTCATCCGCATCATCTCCCCCAGACGCTGTGGCCTGGTATGCTTCTTCGCCGTAGCCGTCACCGTAGCCTTCCGCGGATTCCTGTTGTTCCTGGTAACCATACTCTGCGGCACTACCATCATACCCCATATAGCCGAACTTAGGGTATTGGGGCTTAGCGTCGAAACGTCTCCAGGTCTTACCTGGGCCACTAGGGTCCTTCTGGGTAAGAAGACGTTCCTTCATGTGCACCACTGAGTGATGCTGAACAAGGACGCGTGCGTACTCATCCACACTGTGTACGCGGGCGGCGGTCTTGACCATTAGCTGCTCGGACCTCTCCAACCCTGAAAGCTCAACAAGGAGATTAGCCCTCATTGCTTCAGAAAGACGGATATCGGGGTCCAGCTCACGCAAGGTCGACCACCACCGCTTTCGGCGGGCTATGTAAGACAACATAGGCTCGCCAGGTTGCTTTGCAAGTGGGCCCGTCAGGAGCTGTCCCTGACGGAAAAGTTCGGACGCCTCTTCGGATTGAAGAGGGAAGGCTTGCCTCCTGATTTCTTCTATCAGGTAGTCGACGCCGTCATGGCGAAGCAGACGTTCCAGGCCGACGTCGCGAGCGATGCAAAAGGCATCTCCTCGGAGACCCTCTAGGATCTTGCTAACGCATTCGCTCATGTCGAGCGACTCGTCCTTGACGTCTCGCAAGGTGTACACCGCCGGATCTGTGTCCGGCTCTTGCTCGTCGTCGCCCGCCACTTGGCTGGGGTGCGACGGTAGCGACTCCGCATCCTCATCTTCTGCCTCGGACGCGGGCTTAGTCCGTTTTGCGCTGGACGGACTGGCGGGTATGCCGCTGCTCGCATCGCCCTCTGTGGGGGATGCACTGGTCCCTTGACTGGCCCTGCCACGCCACTTCCTTGGTGACTCGCTCTTGGACCTTGCTGACTCAGCAAAACGCAAGTCCTTCAGAGCTTCTCGCCGCTGCTTCTCCTTATGCTGCAGCACACGGATCTGTGTCCGGAAGCACCAATCGTGGAAGCCAGCAGCCGACCCGTCGTATATGTACGAGCCGCTTTTGGTTTCTGCAGGGCTCAGGTTCTGTGACCAGAGATTGGGCTGGTAACGCAAACCTGCCACGCTCATGGCTTCGAGGATAGAAGGGGCCTTTGCGCCGCGACTATCACTACTCTACCCAACGGACCCCGGACCACAGGCTCTACGGGGGTGAAACACTAGTGGTTGTCCTCACAGCTCCGCTACCAGTTTGAAGCAGGAACTGGATTAGTGAGTGTCCAACCACACAAACGAGCACACTTTTTGGTCTGAGCCCAAGACGTCTGTCGTACAGGGTGCATTCAGAACTGAACATAAAAACTACGCTCGCATGAGGACATGTCAACACGGCGCTTCAAGACAGGGAAATTTCACACAGGTATACTTGGGAGGTGCCGGAGGAGATTGAGGATTTGGGGTTTCAGGTGCACAGGCGCACGGTTTGGCTGCTTTGGATTATGCTGCTTAGTTTTTGGCTCTTTGGAGTTCAATGATTCTGAGATTTGATGATTCTGTCGTAAGCTCTCTCATGGAGCAGACGATGCTAAAACCTAACTCCTCAACCCAAACCCGAACATGGCTTTGAATATTCACCCGAAACCTTTCTGCCGCTGCAAGAAGCTGCATCCTCTAAAGCTGCATAGAGCTCTGTATCGTTATGCGTCGTATGGCTGCCGACAACCTCATAGGGCTTCATACACAGGGTTTGCTGCTTGGTCTATAGGGGTTTAGTGCTTTGTCGCCTTAGGGTTTGCATTCAGGGGTTTAGGATTGAGGGGCTTCAGAGCCTGTAGAGTTTATGGGGTTCAGCTCAGTTTCATGGATTCTAGCCATAGTGTTAGAGCCACGGGTGTCGGGTGTCTGGCGTCTTGTGACTGGAGGTTATGCTTCATGTGCAAAAGAAACACTGTAGCTCACGTCAACAAATGTGGACATGCAATGTTCCATGAAAATCTAATTTGTAATAGGGTAGGGACGATATGGGAAACTATTGCTACTTGTTGTCCTGTGAGATCAGAGGGGTTGGGGTTTAGGTAGAGGTTAAAAGACAAGAGTGGGCTATGTACAGTTTAAAGGATTTAGTTTGCTCTGACGACGTTTTGCCAGGTTGTCTTCCCGGTCTCAACATGGGAAGTATGGAAATCGATGTTTGAAAGATTTCACACTGAACCCTTAAGCCTACACCCTATAGCCCTAGTCCAAGCAACAAACCTCAACCCCAAACCCTAAGTCGTAAAGCTTGAATTATAGGATCCTTATGGGGCGCTCTAAGGGGTGTAGATAACCTACGAATCCGTGGTTCTCTCTGGTGCTCCCCAGGGTTCCCTTCAGGTTTCCTAGGGATCCCTTGTACCCTCCGCCGAACCACCATCCCTGAAGGACCCTATACTTGAAACACTTGCCGAACCCGATATTGGAACCCTTGAAGAACCCGAAAGCCCGAACCCTAAACCCCTAAACCCCAAAACATTAACCTGTCAAAGGCGCAGAAGCTTGCTCCCGCCAGGGTATCTCGTAACCGTCGGTGTTCGAGTGGTGGAGTGGATGCCAGTAAACCTCCACGTTTAGGGGTTAGGGTTTCGCGTTTTTTGCAAATAACTTCAGGCTCAGTCTGGTAGGGTTTAGGGTTTAAGGTTTTTTTTAGGGTTTAGGGATTAGGGTTTAGGGTTTAGGGATTAGGGTATGCCTTTATCTATAAATACGGGGGAAGTTATGGTTTACCTTGTTAGGGTCTTGGGTCTAGGCTGGGAAACCTGTCAGCGATCACTCTTGTCACCAGCCGCAATAGTCACCAGGCCAGGCCAACAAGACAAACAGTGGCGGTATAATGTGGGAACGCGAAGTTTTTATAGATGTGGAAAGCTATCTGTGGGCTTGTGCTACTTTGTATATCGAACTAGTTGTGCTACAGGAGGCCTGAAGAATTGGAACAGGTTTGGGGGATATGCACGTGGCGCTAAGGAGTAATGGCGGGAATTATTCGACTCAAGCCTGGTAATTACCTGGCATCTACTGGCTGTAAACAGACAGCTAACTCTACTCTCTGAAACTTGTCCGCCTGAATGCCGTTAGCCACGACGTAAGGATGATTCCCGTAGTCTTGCGCGGCCAGTGATGTCTGCCCCAGGATCACATGCCTGGGTGCTGGTTAGGGTTGTGCTGGAAGCTTATGATAAGTTGCCATGACAGAAGGGACCCATGCTATGTACGCATGCGGGCACATATCCTCTATCCATCTAGCTACCTATAGATCTATCTATCTGCCCATCTATCGATCTGTCTATCTATACACACATGCATGCATGCATGCATACATACAGACACACACACATATGTGTGAATAGAGAGAGAGAGAGAGAGAGAGAGAGAGAGAGAGAGAGAGAGAAAGAGAAAGAGAAAGAGAGAGAGAGAGAGAGAGAGAGAGCGAGGGAGAGAGAGAGAGAGAGAGATGTATGCGTATCGTAAGTCGTAAGCTTCATAAGAAACTGGGGTAGCACCTGCAACTTCAGCCATTTTCCCCCGCCCTGGGCCCTACATTCTAAAGACAAAACACCCTAAACCCTAAACCGTCGGCCTATCTCAACCCTAAACACTAAGAGCCCTAGGCCCGAAACTCTGTACCCTCTAAGCCATAAGTCCTAAGCCCTCTCCTGTAAAGCCCCGTAAGCCCGAAACCCTAAATCCCGAAACCAGAAACCCCTAAACCCTAGATCCCTCAACCCTAAACCCTATACCCCAAACCCCTAAACCCCGAAGCCTCAGCCCTATCGGCCCAGGTACATCCCTTCGGGTATGTAGGCGAACTGGTCCACGGGGTCGTAGACGTGCAGCACGCGAGCGCCTCCTGCAAAAAAAACCGAACCCTAAATTCGAACCTTAAGCTCAAAAATCTGCGGCACCTATAGGGCTTTCAGCCTAGGCTTTTGGTTATAGTTTGCGTTTTGGTGCATTCTTTTCCGCCTAGGTTTAGGGTGCTAGGATTTCGCTGGTGAATGCTCGATAATGCACGGGTTTCCGAAGTACCCTGAATAGCAGGATCCGCATGATAACGCCCCCAAAAAGAGGTACCCCCTTTCTTGGGAAACTCCGATGTAGAAGCCAAAGGATCTGACCTTTGTAAGCACCTCAAGCGGCTCCATAAAGGCCTGACAGTAATCCGCAAGGGTTCTTCGGCGATTCATAAGGGTAATACAGGGTTCCATAGGGGGTTCCGAAAATAGGGGGACCCTACTCGAGTACCCTGAATAGCAGGATCCTTTTTTGGAGACCAACATAAGGTCCCCTTCGGAAACTGCCAATAGCCGGTTTCGGAAAGCTAACGAAGGAAGCTGAGACATCAACTTGAGGGTTCCCATTCTTCAAAGCTCTTCATATGGACCCTCCGTTCATTCGGGATCCTATAACTTCAAGAAGTTCAGGGTGTAACTTAGAGTTTTGGGATCTTTAGGGTTTAAGAGGTGTCTTAACCAATCACAATCCACAGCCGTAAACCTCCAGCCCTTCGTGCTTGCCTGTCCGGTAGCTCAGCAGCTCCATCGCACACTCGCAAGGATACCTCTGTGCTTCCGGTTTCCATCGAAGCCGGATGTGGAAAATTCAGACACTAGGCAAAAAGTTGCGATGCAGCTTCTCCTTGCTACCACTACCACGACCAGGACCATCAATACTAGCGCTGGCTCCCTGCGCCGACGACGACGACGACTACAACAACTACTGCTACAGTATTGCGATAAAAAACCACGACTTCTACTGCTGTTTGCTCTTGCTACCAGTATCGCTGAATGACACCTGTTCGGACATCAATCCGCGCCTTCTTTCTCAACTCCGTCTTCATGGTTGTCTTATTCTTCGGTGTAGGGTTCGGGTTCTTGAGGTTGCTTCGGAATCACTTAATTCAAACGCCCCAACCCGAAAAGGCTGAAAATGCCCCCAACTCTGAAACTGTTAGGCTTATTCGTTCTAGGGTTTCGGGGCTTGGTGGCCTGGCCGACGGAAAGTCGGTCTTGGGGGTTTAAGCCTTGGTTTGGCACGTTGTCTGTGATGGTATCAGGGTTTAATTAATAAGGTTTACGTGTTACGGCGGCTTGGTTTTGGAAACCACAAAACCAAAAGTCCAAAACCTTCCATTTAGGGCCCGCTTCCCTGCAAAGCACTTCACCCAAGGGGCATGTACCTAAGTCGTATGTACTTTGACCCCAAAGCACCTATAGGGACTACTCTACGGCCTCAATACATGTACATATATAGATAGATATATAAGCCATAGCAGTGATAAAAAAAATAAAAACATCAATTTCAATATTGATACTCTATATATATATATATACATATATATATACATATACATATTAATGCTTTTCGGGTGCATGGACCGTTAGAGTCACATAACAATAAGCCTTGAACTTAGCGCCAGCTTGCCCGCGGGGCACTTCACATGGACGATGGCCACAGGGTCCGACCAGTTCGCGCCGTAAGCCCTCCGGTCATCACACCACGTCTTGCAGTTCCTCAGGTGCAAAGTTCAAGGTTTAAAGTTTATCTGGACGCTAGAAGCCCTACACATCAGGGTTGCTTATTGTGATTTCTGTATATCATAGGAATTTGAACAGGTCGGTTAACCCGGGCTTAAAGGTTGGCTCTGCGGGTGTACAGAGCTTAGGGTCAAGGTTTGGGGCCTGTGGCCTGGCAGAGATGTTCAGAAGCTGCAGTAGTAGTAGAAGTAGCAGTAGCAGTAGTAGTAGAAGTAGCAGTAGCAGTAGCAGTAGCAGTAGCAGTAGCAGTAGCAGTAGCACTAGCAGTAGCAGTAGCAGTAGCAGTAGCAGTAGCAGTAGCAGTAGCAGTAGCAGCAGCAGCAGCAGCAGCAGCAGCAGCAGCAGCAGCAGCAGCAGCAGCAGTAGTAGTAGTAGTAGTAGTAGTAGTAGTAGTAGTACTAGTAGTAGCAACAGCGGCAGGAGTAGCAGCAGCAGGAGTAGTAGTAGCAGCGGCAGGAGTAGTAGCAGTAGCAGCAGCAGTATTCGTAGCAGTCGTAGAAGAAAACGACGCAGAAGTAAAGGAAGAAGTAGCAGTGCCAGCACGAAATGTTTTGAAAGTTGCTCTTGTTGCTCTTCACAAACCAGGTATCTTCTGCAACGAATATTGAGACTGGAAAGGGTTCGATTCCTAAGTTCTCCGACTCCTATGGCAGGGCTGGGATAGGTTCGGTACCAAAGTAAATCACTGCTCTGACTGGTGATTGCGAAGGACACCGGGATTCCAAGGCACGCGCTCTTCCTGTGGAATGTTCACAGCAGCCTCCTTGCCACGTCTTGCCCTTGGCCACTGTTGGCGCTCTAGCCAAGCGCGCACAGTCAGCGACTTCTGCCCTGGCACGGCTCGAGCTTCTTCGTAGACCTGATGCGAGCCATGCAATAAGTAGCGGCCCACACATGCCATGCCGTGGTTGGTCATTGTCTGTTCATGATCTCCATAGAGCTTGTGGTCGCCCAAGCTCCCTGCATCTGCACACAGTAAACAATACACCAGCCACAATCTGCGACTGACGTCCGAGGACACCTGGTGCATGGAGAATGCAACCTTTTCTTCATGTGCCTCCAACGGGATGTCGTCATCCGGGTTTTCCCGGAATAACGGCACTATATCCTCGGGATAGGTTCGGGTATAGGGTTTCGGGTATACTCCACGCAGCCAGAGCCAGGACTTATAGGGTTTAAGCGGTTGAGGGTCTAGAGTTTATGGGTTCCGTAGGTTTTAAGAGTGCCGAAGGCCGATGTGGGTTTCAAAAAGAGTTTATGCTTCTCCCTAAACTGTCAGCTGAGAATCTGATTCCATGCCCGAGCGCGAATCACCGGACCATCCGAGAGCAGTTGGCGCAGACCGCGCGCCGCCTGTTGGCCCACTCTAAAAGCGGCAATACAGATGCTTGAAATGGGATCCCCAAATTCAAGAGTTTCTGCTACATGCTTAGGCAAAGGCTGAAGGGGGCAGGAGTGTGTGATGCAAACAAGACGTTCCTCAACAGCTAAGACTTAACTTTGCCCAAGCCGTTGCGGAAATGCCTTAAGCGCATCACTTGCGACTGCATAGGAGGTGATGTGTGTGCATCACCCCACTTTGATTCTTCTGGACTTTTAGAATGGGCATCGACGGATAGTTTTCCAAAAGAAAAAGCTCAATATCAAGCATTGTCAAGCAACGAGGCTTGCAGTATTTTTGGCACTACATAAACCCATAAACCCCATAAACCCAGTCTTAGGTCTTAGGCCAAGCCATACCTGTTTGCACCCTAGCCCAGTTGGGGGTATCCTTGCATTTGGGCTTTAGGTCTACCGGACTGGGGTTTTGTGATTCGTGTCCAGGCCGGTATGTCAGCTTTGGGTAAATAGCGGTTTCCGAAAATAAGCTTGTTTCGGGGTCCTTTTTGATGACGATCCTACTATTTAGGGTATTCAATAAGGGGCCCCCATTTTCAGAAACCCCTAAATCTCAAAGCCTACTGCCGCACGACTGCCTACATCCAAAACTCTGAACTGAACTGTCCTTTCCACCCGGCCCCTGATTCACAAACTCTTCTCCCTGAAGGACGGTAATGGGGATGCGAATGTCAACCAACGGCGCTTACAGAAAGAAGATTCATGAACCAGGAAATTTAGGCTGCGCTCTCACTTCGAGAGGTATCAAAGAGAGGTGTCTATCAATCTCTACCTGAACCTAAATACTAAACCTTAAATCCTAAACCCTAGACTCCTAGACCCTAAATCCTAAAACGTTTATAGGGTTTAGGGTTGACAAGTTCTAAACCCTAAACCCTGAACCCGGAATCCTAAGATCAGCCGAGGCGCCTGACGCCCTCGAACGGTGAAGGAACCCCACCTGGGTCCATGGGTTTCGGATTACAGTAGAAGCCAGAAAGTTGGAATATCATTACCGTGACCCCTTTCAGGTAAATTATAGGGGATCCTACCGTTAATCCATATTCCAACTTTCAGGAGTTCCCTTTAGGGTTTAGGGTTTGGGGTTTAGGGCCAGGATTTGGCACTTCCCTTTCAGGAGTCGGGTGTAGCAATACATTTGTCAGGGATTTTCGTCTAGGCTGTAGAGACTTTGAGGGTTTGGGCAGATGTCTAGCAGCTAGCACGGGTCTGGGGTTGAGGGATTTTGGGTTTATAGTCTGGTATGTGTATCGCTGGATTTGGCCGAGCCTCATATGTGCTTGGATGAAGAAGACTATGGGATAACTTAGCTGGTGGTATTTCAACCCACATGCTGACATCCGGAATTGCGCTGCCGCGCTGTGCTGCCGCAATCATGGCGTCCAGCGGATGAGTTTCAGAACCTATAGCACAACCCCAGATCTTGCAATCTTGTAGCTTCCACCCTAAACCCTATAAACCCTAAACCCTAACCCCTAATTAAACCCTAAACCCTAAGCCCTAAACCCTAACCCCTAGAAACCCTGAACCCGAAGCCCTAAACCCTGAACCCTAAAGCCCTCTGCCTCTCTGAGCCCATGAGTGCCAAGTGCTGCCAGAACACTTGTAGCCAGACGAAGTGCCACTGATGAACCTTGAGCTGCAGGTTCGGGGTTTAGGGTTTAGGGGTTTGGGGTTTAGGGGTTTAGTTTTTTTTGGTTTAGGGTTTAGTCCTCTTGAGCTGCAGGTTCGGGGAAAGCCACGACTCCCAACCGAAAATCGAATCCGAAAAAGCCATGACATGTTGGGGAGTTGAAATTGGAAGGTCCATAGACATGCAACGCCACACATACAGTGGCTGCGGTCGCAGAAGTAGGTCGGGGACTACACGGAAGGACATCAAGAACGATGACCGATAATAGAACACTATACCTTGGCGCAAGTGTGGGGCCGTCTGGCGTTTATGATTTCATATGGGTAGTTGCCAAAATTAGGGTACCTTACAGGATCCTTTTTATAAGGGGGCACGAGGGTAAGCCCGAGGATTGGGGGGATGTCCTGGGTTCTTGCTAGGGAACTTAGATTTGGCCCCTGATATTTTCATAGATCCGTTCCTATTGTCGAAACTTAAACTGAGTTCCTTCACAAGAACCCTGTACTTGTGTAACACGCATCGCATGCAAACTCTAAGGCTTAGGTGCAAGATGGGAGCCCTCTGTCATTTGAGCAGGATTTTGGGTATGTTCTACTTTACCTGCACATGGAATTACCTTGCAAGTGGATGTTTTTGCTCATTATACTCAACCGTCTCAACCCTTATGATAGCCCCCCACAAGGGGTCTCGAATCTTCAGAAACCCCATATGTGAGCCATAAACAGTCCGATGAACCCCTTGTGAAACGGCTCTAAACCTCGGCAAAGCCCGAATATCACAATGCACCCTAAACCCTGAAACCCACCCCAAAGAACAACGACACCCAATACATCACAATACACCGAACAAACCTCAACACACCCTAACCCGCCCAATATACTCTGAACCGGATAATGGAGCTAAGAAGCAGCACTTCTGCATCGGAGAGACGGCACAAAGCCCGTGCGAGGCCCTGAAATTTCAAGGCTTTTTATCAGGGCTGTTGGCTTCGGGCTTAGGGTGTTTAGGTTTAGGGTTTAGGGACTAGACGATAACAAGGCTATAAGGGTTTCTATAAGGGTCCTTGCAGGAGTTCCATGAGGGTCCTTTAAGAGTTTCTTTCAGGGTCCTCTCAGCTTATCACCTGTTGGTCATTGGGGTGAGGGGGGGTGGGCGGCTCAGGGGTTTAGGATTCCCTAAGGGTCCATGTACCCAAATAGTATATACTTTGGGCCCAATGTACCCATATAGGGAATACTTTAAGGCCAATGTATATACTATGTAGGTACATGGACCCTTAGGGATTTATTTGGATTCCAACTAACTTACTTTTCTAGGGTTCTGCGATGTCCTTGCATAAATCCTTGCAAAGGTGAGTTGTTTGGTGGGTTGAGGTAGGGCCTAGGTGTAGGGTTTAAAGGTTTAGGGCTTCAAGTTGAGAACCCAGGGTTCAGGGTTCAAAAACTTGTCACAGGAACGCCTAGACCGCAAAAAAGAAGAAAGAATGCCTTTGTAGGGTTTGACAGGTTCAGAGTTGGAAGAAGTTTTCGATTCTGTGCCCCACATGGGCAGTTTTCTCGAATCGAATTCTTTGCTTGCCTGCAGATAGTTTGGGGACTTGAACTCAAGTCGAACCGATTGTTTACAGGGTGCTCCTACAAAGCTTCGGTCAGGCACAAACAAAGAGCTGTCTATTATGGTGCGAGCTAGATAGAGCTTGCGACAACTTCCATGACTTGTAGACCATAATGATGGTGAGTTCTGTAGATGGTTCCCGTGTGTTTACGATACTTGACAGCCGTCTCGTACGATAGCCAACTAAAGTTCAACCTTGACGCAGATCTCAATCATTCAGGCTCCCTTGATTACCGCCGGAAAGCCAAACCGTAAACCCGACATTGATAAGCCCTAATTATAATTGACTGATTTAAGGCCTGGCCTGAATACTAAGAACAAGGTTTAGGATAATTATACCGCACTATAATTACAACAAGGAGACCCACAATGTATTAGTAAGTGTTCCGCCCCCCCTTTATTCATTCCTCCTTTTCCAAGCCTTCTCAGAAGCGGGCTCCACGAGTGCCTTGCCATGCGCCTGCATCATTCGGAAGTGGGGCGTGCTGCTTCGGCGGTCCGATGGAGGAACCGATGCGCTAATGCAAATAGATAAATAAATAAATATGTATATATATATATATATGGTGTGTACATATATATGTATACATAGATATATACATACGCACATATGGATCTTGTGGAGGGAAGCCAATCGCTGTGGGGTTGCTCGTGACCACAACCACAAATCGCGCACTTTGGGTGTCCTGGGACCTTCGGAACTCTGCAGTAGTCCCAACAAACAGGACCCACTGTCACTAGGTACTCCTCTGGAACCGTAACTTCTACGGTTCAGGATTTAAACGCAATGTAACAAAACACAAAAACTCACTGAGAGTCGATTTGTCGAAATCTCGTGCGTGAGGTCGTTTCCATGCAGGATATAACAACGCTTGATAGAAGACGGGCTCAACGAATGAAATCACAAGCCATAGACCTGTACCAAGTAGGGTCTGGGGCTATCAGCTTCTCAGCAGATTCCTGCCATCAACTATGTGTTTGCAAGTATGGTTATTGCTCGTACTGTGTGTTTTCATCACTTTCGCGGTACAAGACTCAGTGATGAGTGCTGTGTGCTTGACGAACATAGCAGACATGACAGTGAGATATCATGGCAATCACCACCATGTCAGGGACAGCGTATCAATGTTAGAGGATCGGCATGAGGATCTCAACACCCACAAGGGTGGTTGTCAAAAATATGATCCCTTTTTGGGCAGGTGCCGTACGAAAATTGGGACCCCAAAAGGGACCATAATTTTGAGGACCGCCCACAAGTCTCTAGAACCATTAGATCGAAATTCGGATCCTACCTCTAGGCTGCGCAGGCTCTTCATACTTTTGATGATATATATATATATATATATATATATATATATCCTGCATTACCTTAAGGACCCTAGACTATGGCAATCATGGTATATTCCTTTTTATGGGTATAATGCAGGATTTATATCATCAACCGTATGTCATCGGCCACTGTCGTCCCGCGACCAAGAACCCAGTGCTGCGCTGCAAGTCCGCAAGGAGCCGTGAAACCCCAAACCTCAAACTTGACTCAAACCGTTCACCCCAACGAAGCCTTTCATGGTATGGGCTCTGGTGAATTTTGCAACGCGATGGATGCTTAGTTGTCATCCCTAAGCCGCTATAAGCGCAGAAGCACGCTGAAGACGTGCCTGGTTCTGTGATCCCTGAACAAGTAGGATCCGTACTAAGAGCCCTGCAACAACACTAAGCCCTAAGTGTCCATGTGCCCATACGGTACTTTTTTGACCTTGATGAATTACTTGTGTAGGACCCCGTTTGAGGTCTACGCATGCGTTATAGAGGTGCATGGACTTGTTACAAAACTGCAGGAAACACAGCACGGACAAATCCTCATACAGAGAACCGCCAAAGAACCCTGTACAAGCAATGCGGAGTTTCGCGATCAGGTTCCAGTAATCTTATGTAGACCCGCAGCCCTATACCATCCTGCACCCCAACCCTTTCGCCTAAACCCAAAACTCTAAACCCTGCGCCTAAACCCAACACCCTAAACCCTAAACCCCTAAACCCTAATTCATAAAACCTAAACCCTAAAACCCCAAACCCCCAAAAAACACATCCAAAAAAAACCCAAAACCTGCGCCTGAAACGGTGATGCGGTCCAGTGCCAGCTCCAGGATTCCTCGAGGCGATAATGCAGGGGACCCTAAGAGTTAGAATAGGGCTCCTTTGAAGGGTTCCTATACAGGGTTACTATAAGGGCTGCTATAGGGGCTGGTATATAAGGGGGCTGCATAGTTCGACTAGGGTTTTGGGGCCTAGTATACTTTATAATTAAAATAAGGAACCCCCAAAAAATAGTATAGTTAATTACTAAGGCCCTATAGTAAGGTCACGGAAAGGGATTTAGGGTTTAGGGGTTCCAAGGGTAAGCTGGGTTCCGGGTCGGGTTGAGGGTGCGGGGTTTAGGGCTTAGGGATGCAAGCAAGGGATGTAACCTGATGAGTATAGTTTGACGTGGAACAAGGTTGTATGCAAGCCATCCGTGCTTTGAGCGGCTGCAGCTCTCTTACTCACAGTATAGTGAGGAAACTTGACAACCAAGCATGACCCACTTCCTAACTACCCGGCCGGGGAAATTTAAATCAAGAATTCGAGCATAAGGACTTCGGTTTGGGGTTGTGGCGGTCGAGAACTGATCCCCTTCAGGGTTCATGAGAGTTGTCCGAGGTGAGTGGGGGCGACACATGCTTTTCGTCACCCAAGACTTAGTGTTGGCTTGGGCCAGGAGATGAAAGGAACAGACACTCTTTTCCCCCACGGTGTGCCTTCATAACTAGATTCACTCGTTACGGTTGGGGAGTATTTGCTGTAGTGGTTTCGGGATTGCGGGCTGCATGAATAGCTTTTGCAAAGAAAACCTAAGGTCTGCAGACAAACTACATGACAGTGTCGATCAGCCATGTGGCTATGTCAACATCTAACGGCAAGCATGCGTAGTATGCACACATAGTTATACTTTATGAACTTTATAGGTCTATATCCATTGTTTGTTTGCTTGCTTTGCTTGCTTGGTTGACTGATCGACTGATTGACTGATATATTGACTGATTGATTGATTGATTGATTGGTTGATCGATTGATCGTTTGACCGATTGATTGATGGGTTGATTGAATGGTGGAATGACTGGCTGATTAACTGGCTGTTTGACTGGATGACTGGCTGGATGACTGGCTGGCTGACTGGCTGACTGACAGGTTGATTGACTGGATGACTGGCTGGCGACGGGTTGACTGACTGCTTGATTACATGAACGAATGACTGACGGACTGACTGCCTGACTGATGGGTTGATGGGTTGATGGTTTACAGATTTATGTGTCAATTCATGCTCTTTTTTGCGTTCCTCTCTTTATACATGTGCACACGCACCTTTGTGTGGATGAAAAAGGTATCTACACGAATAATTACAAATAGATACCGATATATCCACACAGATTGGGATTTGTGTATACATCCGAAATGCACGACTATCAGCGCGAAGCATGAATGCATGGCAATGCCCACATTGATCACCAAAAATTGACAATTCGGGAGTTTCCGAAAAGAACCGACCCCAATAAGGTCATGATTCAACGGAACCCTGATTGAAGTATCCTACTTTTCTGAAACTCCCGACAGTCTCACACCAGAAAGCCCTGTATCTACGGCAGCAAATGCAGGCCAGGTAACCATGGACGCGGCTACTCGCTCCTCACAACTTCCGATTACCTTGTGCAAGCTTGACGGCAATGCAACTTTGAATATGCGCTGTTCTTCAGCTCATATCAAACTTATATGCTCCGAGCCCGAAATAAACAAGCCTGCAACCCAGAACTCAAAGCCGGCACTCGACACAGTACTCAAATTCAAAAGTTCAATCGGCCGCAGTTCTTGCCTGTGTGTTGGGTTCTCCACATGTTCCTTTTTCGGCAGACTCATGCTGCATCCGTGAGGGAAAGACCGAACTGCAGTACGGACTGATCCCAACAGTTTTGGGTGCAAAAACTACCTACAGTCTCCATTGTAGTTCCTTTTCTTGGTTTAACCAAATATATAATTAGGATCCTATAAGGGAACCCCCAAAAGGAACTGCAATGGAGACTATAGGTATAGGAGCTGTCACGGGCACCTGGGCACCACAATTCCACTAGACGCTACGTGAACCGCGTTTGGTCGGAGACGTCGCCCTAAGGGTCCATGTACCCAATTACCATATACGTTGGCCTTAAAGTACATATATAGGGACTACTTCAAGGCCAAAGTATATAGTATTTGGGTACATGAGCCCCGTAGGGTCGGCCTATACACAACAATAAAGCCTTGTTAGGCACAGGACAGCGGATGTAAAGAGACAAAAGCAACAATACAAATCAGGAGCTTGCCTCGTCTTCCTGAAACGCGTTCGCATCCACAGGCCATAATGTGACATCGCGCTCGCCTGGGCCGACGAAATGGACTGGCCCGACTGCTCAAAGAACCTGGCATCTTCGGGACCTCCACCTTAACCTACCAAACCCTACTTCTTGCAAGAGAAATGGGCCTTGGTAGGCGAAGGTACATATGACACTGTGCATGCTGCTTCCTTTACCTGATTGATGAGGATCCTTGGGCACGGCATCCGGCCTCGGCCAGCATGGACACGTTCTATGAGCTCAAGCCACCTGGGTGCGTTTGCAAGTCGGCCACGTTTCTCTGAACTCACGTGAATGCTACAATGGCGATTAGACATGCACTGCGCTATCTGGGATCGGGAAAGCAAACTTGCACTGATTAGCATCATGCGCAACGGCTGATAGCTTGTGAATTTTCGTGAGTTTGGTGCGACGCACCGTGATAGAGACGGACATGCATGCGCTCATGTACAGCATATACACAAGCGTTTTTACAAACGATGAGAGCCTGAGTCGTGCTGGATTCAAGGTCAAGCGTTCATGCAAGCAGGTTACATTGGGTCAATACATGCGGCGGCCAACACACTGGAAGCTTACCGATCCAGCATTGTCGACTTCTTGCAGGAAACCGTCTGGACACTCTTGCATGCAGCACCTTGAGATTTGGATGTGATGTTTAAAATACGATGGCGACGACCGACTACTACGCTCTCGCCTACCCCTACGCCTGCTCTTACACCCACACCTACGCGAACGCCTACGCATCTGCACACACGCCTACGATTACTAGGACGACGACAACAACTACCTTACTAAGTTGCTGCTACTACTAGCACTACTAGTACTAGTAGTAGTACTAGTACTAGTACTAGTACTACTACTACACTACTACTTACTACTACTACTACTACTACTACTACTACTACTACTACTACTACTACACTACTACTACTACTACTACTACTACTACTACTACTACTACTACTACTACTACTACTACTACTACTACTACTCCTACTACTACTACTACTACTACTACTACTACTACTACTACTGCTACTGCTACGACGACGACGACTACTACTACTACTACTACCACTACCACTACCACTACCACTACCACTACAACTACCACTACCACTACCACTACCACTACCACTACCACTACCACTACCGCTACTACTACTACTACTACTACTACTGCTACTACTACTACTACTACTAGTACTAGTACTACTACTACTACTACTACTACTACTACTACTACTACTACTACTACTACTATTTATTACTACTACTACTACTACTACTACTACTACGTACTACTACTACGTACTACTACTACTACTACTACTACTACTACTACTACTACTACTACTACTACTACTACTACTACTACTACTACTACTACTACTACTATGTGCAATTGGAATCTTTGCACTTGGCATCAAATAACATTGGTTAACATCCAAGCTTGCGCAGGGTTTGCATTTAATCGCATACAATTGGGTTCTCAACACCCTACCAGGAAAACTGACGGCGATATATGAGCCCCCACCCCCAATTTCCAGTTGGGGATGCCTGCTGGCCACAAGCAGACTGCGCCGCTTAAGGCTTTCGGATTGCAATGTCGGGATGTTGGGGCGAACTTCTTTTGTCGTGGCTTGTCTCGGCATGAAAAGCTTCACAGCGGTGAACTTTGTTGCTGCGACGCATGACTTGCGAAATCCAAGAACAAAAAATATTGATTCCGCAAGGCTCTCGCTTAGAAGTCCCAGGATAAACAGCATTAGTCACAACAACCCGAGTTTTGAGCTGCCGTGTGCCAAAACGACTGGATGCATGGCATGGGTTTTCGGTATTTCGTGGTTCAATATGCAGCAACACGGTCGTTTATGAGGATTGTCGAACGAGAGTGTCCTGGAAATAGTGCTATCTGGCCTGAAGTTTGCGTACAATGCAAGACCTGAACCTAGCGTCGGTGCAATTATTGCCAGGATTCTCTCCGAAGCTGCAGCGGAAAGACAGAGTTGGTCAGCAGACGTTTCGTGCCGCCGTGTTTGGGAAAGGCGCGGTCAACTGCTGAAGTATATTTCAGCCTAGACCGTGGCCCATCATTACATGCATACTGGGAAAGCGCATTTCTGTGGTCAGTGTAGCGCAGCCGTTCCCTCAGATAGCTTCTGGCCATCCCACAAGGTTTTGACAGCCGGGCTTCGGGTTCATTCTAGCGCCCCATTTGAAGTCATACCCCTTCTCCACGGCACAGGACACCCCAAACGCCTTCGGGGTTTAGCGCATGGGACGTCTGTACATATCAAAAAAGTTTAGGCTCCTCGCCTCCCTTCCAGGGTTCAAGTCTGCAACCCACGTGCTTCTAAACGTACCAAACTTCAGTGCCTCAGCCAGTACATCTCATAGTCCATCTCCCCAAGCTAGTATAAAGGCTACTAGAGCATGGGTCGGCAAGGGTTACTACAAGGGTCTGCATAAGGATTGTTGTTGAGGGTTACTACTTTGGCTATTGTTAGAGGTGGATCCCGTTGATCCCTTACTTGTTATACGCAAGCTAACGTCTCTGACTTCTCAAGCCGTATAGGGCGTTCGTCCCACATGAACTTTGCAATGCAGCTATTCCCCGAGGATCCAAAGGAAACAACAATTAGGTACTTGGGTTTAGGGATAGTAGTTATGTAGGTTACCTCCTTTGGAGAGTATATGATAATTAGGCACTTGGACTTTTAGGGTTTGTGCTTTGGATATTGGATCTTAACCCGCAGTTGGCTAGCTCATATAGGGGCCTTAATAATTAGAATAGGGTTTTGGGATATATTATACTGTAGTTATAATAAGGAATTCCCCAATAAAGGCAATCATTTAGGCCCCTATGCTATCCAACTCAAGCAAGCCCACGGGAGGCTTATCTGCCGGGTGCACCAAACCCCAGCCGATTCAAGGCCCCTAAACCTTCAACGGTAAGTCATCAGTCAAAAAGCGTCCTTAAACCCTAAATCATGATTTCTCTATCTCTGAAGTCGAAACATGTACCACAAAAAACTCAACCGGCTGAGACGCGGCCAGCGAGTTGTCAGCGCATCGTAGAAGTAGCCTCGGGGCATAGGTTAAGGGTTCTAAGTTCTCGGGTAAGAGTTTAAGTCTAAAGGTTTAGGGCTTATGAACTCGCATCTAAAGCCACACAGCTGGCTCAACCGTGGAGGTTTTCGGCAGGGGCTGGAGACTACAGGGCCTTTTGTGATGAAACGTCTCGGGGAAGTTGAAAGTATAGCAACTTACTCGTAATCTTCATAGATCCCAACCCTAGGCTTCCAGGGACCTTACTATTGGGTCCCTAAGGGGTCTAGGGTCCTCACGATAAGGTCCTAGCAAGCATCGATCCCAATAAATCCATATTAGAAACCTGTGGCCCTAAAACAAAGAGGATCGTTTCGATCTTGCCCATTACATTATACTTACCCGTGCCCGGTCGACCCAGGCAAGATTCTAATATATCCTAAGGTTCCGAAACATAGTATACCAGAAGGCTCGGCTATACGAGCTTTCTGTGGTGGACTGGCTTTGAGATGCGAGCCTTTTGGATATAGAGCACCCGTTTTGTTGGAAAAAGTTACTGAGGTCGGTCCCAACACTGAGGATTGCATACCATTTGGGGTTTCTATGTTTTGGGTACTTGGAGGTTCATGGGTAGTCATACGTAGGGTTATAAGTCCCCTAGTATGAGTTATAAGCAGAGTTACCCCACTTGTAACTCCACTTACAATTACCCATGAACCTCCAAGTAGGGGGTGGGAAGTTGGTTTCCAGTTCATTGTCGACTTGAGACTTGGAGGGCCTGGCATTAGGGGTTAAGTCGACTGTGGGACACCGTTCAAGAGGCCCTGGCCCTGGAAAACCCAAAGGGAGTTTCCGAAAATTAGGGGTACCTGATTTTTGGGTCCTGATTATAAGGATCCTACTATTTAGGGTACCATATAAGGGTCCCCTATTCGCGGAAACCCCAAACTGTTAAGATATAAAGAACCCTACAAAAGACCCAGCACCTTTTTCATCAGGTTCCTATACTCGGATTTTTAGGTTTCGGGCTTCGGACTCAAACCCCTCTGTGGACCCGGCGTCGCTTCGCCCCGACTCGGGACCCACTCACCACATCCCACACCTTCACTGCCTCAGCTCTCCGGGAATACTTTGAGGGTCTTGGGCTTAGGGGTGCAGGGTTTGGGGTCTAGGAGTCAGAGTTTAGGCCTTTAGGGTTTGGGGTTTAGGCCTTTAGGGAGCCTTGATCCTTAGGACGACTCCCTCTTGCGCAGTTCGACGAGCTCTTTATGCAAAGCCTTGTGCGGTCTTAGCTTTCGTCTTTCGGGACAGGCGGTACAGCTTCGCTCGCAAACCACGACGCGACAGTATGAGATGCTGTGCTGAGGCTGTCGGGCTTGTGGTGGGGTGCTTTGAGCCCACGGTGCCATTAGGCTTCAGGCTCTCAGGCTTGGGGTTGAGGGGTTCGGGTGCAAAGGTCGTGGTAATCCAATCGAAACCCCTAACTCGGTTTAGGGTTTTTAAAGTTTCTCAAACCTTTGTGCTGAAACCTCCAGGATAAATAGAGACTGTGTATAGAGACTGTGTGTTCTAACGTGCGTGGCCATATAGGCTCATGTATCATTGCCTTGCTTGCAATGTTTGATGGATAGAAAAGATGCACAGATACGAAAGTTCCAGAAACAGATGTGTTTCCGCGGCGCATAGACATGCAAAACAAAATTCAAAATCAATATCGTGTTGGCGGGTTCTCGAATGTTTCCAGATACGTGTTTCCGGACCCGGATTGTGTTTGCGGGACCGGATTGCGTTCAGGGAATATGTTACCGGGATTGTGTTTGCCGGCCGGGATTGTGTTTCTGGGAACAGTTCTGCTCTTAAACTCGAACACAGATTCTGTTTTCGAGTTTAAGAGCATTGGCGTTCTCTGAATTAGAGAGGTGGAGAGGGTTCAAAGAAGGGGGAAAGGGTTGGAAAGTCTTAAGGTGGGAAGGAGAGGGGCCCAAGATGTCAGGACCCGCGTCCTCGGCGAAGCAAAAGGAACAACCCCACACAACACTGCGGACCTGGACACTAAACAAGTTCTGTGTAGCCTAAACCCTATTTCCCGAAACCCTATAACCCCTAGGCACTTAACCCTCCACTCATCTGAGGCTTAGGAGCATCCAGGAGCATCCAGGAGAAGTCGCTCTCCTGCAATCAACGCCGAACCCGGGCCACAGGAACCCAAACCCCCAACCTTCAACCCAATGTCCTAAATCCCAAGCCCGCAACCCTAGACATCCTTAAGCTTAAAAGGCTTTTGGCACGGATAAGTTCCGGCTCAGAGCTCAAACTGCATGAGTCTAGGGCTGGGGGCCTGCAGATTTGGCAGGATTCAAGCATTATGATTTAAACTAACAAGGATATTCCTTGCAAGCTGAGGAAAGAAAAATCAAAACACATCATGAGTTTGCAGGAAAACAATGTACGAAAAGCCAAATAATACTGTGAGAAGCTGTCAAATTCTATGAGAATGGAAAGCGGCATAGAGGATGATGCAGATTTTCATCCGTCATTCCGGCCTCAACGTCCTAGAGCAGCTTCACTTTCCACCAAGCCAGGCACTGCTTCCACTCTCGCTATTAGCTGCTTTGCGGCCTACCGATCTCAATTTCCAGTTTGCTATGACAGCCTAGAGGAGACATACAACTCCTTTTCTCGTCGGAGAAGAATCTTGACAAGAGTTGTCAGTCAGATATCACCAGTGACGAGGAAGGAGAATCAAGCTGCTCTGCCTTTGGCAAATTGAGCTGTACATCACACTCATGACAAACAATGTTATTACTGGTACTGGGGCTTACCTTTGGTTAGTAGGGAATGGAAGAATGGTAGTAACAGAAGTTATACTTGTACCCCATTCCTCCATTCCCTACTAACCAAAGGTAAGGAGACTCTCAGTGCATTCTGGTGTATGAACTGAAGACTCAGTGGACACCCAAAGAGGCAGTGTAGAGTGCGGCAAACGCGCATCCAGGGTCCATACTCGGGGCCTTGGCCTGGAGACTCCAACAAAGGTTTGGTTTAGGGCTTGTGGTCTATGTTAAGCCCTAGGTTTTGGTTTGCTTTTTTTGCTGAGCTCCTTTTTCCGTTTCAGGGTTTAGGGTCTAGGTTAAGGGTTTCAATTTAAGGAACCCTCAGCTCAAGTACAAACAAAGCCCCAAGCCGCATGTGAGAGAGTCAGCACGTCAGCGCCCTTATAGTCGCTATACATTCGCACCCGAAAAAATCTAGATACCACCTTGCACGACCGTTTGCCTGCACGGCCAACTTGCTCGAGAGCTGCACCGCCCGCAGGAGCGCCAACCTTGCTTTGCGGGCGGAATTCTCTGATGTCTGAGCTTTGCCCACCACTATAGAAGCATTATACTCACTGATCAAACATCAAGAGAGAAGTAGATGGAATAAACAAATCTCCTTCCTACACACTAGCATTATGTATAGAAATCCCAAACCCTTACATTGTCTATAATGACAAGAACCCAACACCCTCAGAAAACTGTCAACAACAACGATTACATAATCAGGTATTTCCTGACTACCATGGCTATATAGTGTCGCACGGCAGACCCACGGAAGAATTCCGAACACGTCGCAACCAGTGTAGGCCCACACCCATACTCGAACTCGAAGTGTCAAGGTCCAGGTTCATGTTCAAAGGAAACGACTATAAACCGAACCCGACACAGTTCCACAGGTTCAGACATTAGGGTTCATCTGACTCCTGTCGCAGAAGGGCCTTGGAGCTTGGCGTGCAGAGCAACTTCGGTTCAAATGACCCTCAGTCACAAATAATTACGTAAGTCATCATATCCTCCCGCAATGCTATGCCTCCTACAGGCATCCTACATCCAGCTGCCCACTTGCAGGGTCCTGAGACTAGTCGTATGAGTCCCAAACATTTTTAAGGACAGAAGAAGAGGACATAATAAGGAGCCCAAAGAAGGTACCTATAGTCTCCATTGTAATTCCTTTTTGGGGTCACCTTTTTGGATCCTTAATACAAAATTGGTTTAACCAAAAAAGGAACTACAATGGAGACTATAGGTAGGTTGTTTCCAGGTAAAACCCTTAAAATCCTGTACCTTCTGCTGTGCCAGCCAAGAAGCATCGCCGCCCCCGATGCGAAGGGACAGGCATCCCGTTGGTCGAGGAAGCCTTCCATGAACTCTTTTTTTACGCCTTTTGAACGCCTTTTTCCGCCTAGCAGTTAAGGTCGGCCGAATCCCTTCCATGAGCTCTAGGGTTTAGGGTTGGTGATCACAGGGTTTAAGGGTTTTGCATTCAGGGTGCTGGGTTAAAGGTGTTTTCGGAGTGGCATTTTGGAGCACCGTTCTGGATTAGAGTGGTAACGTCCATCACTGAGACATCTGAAGTGAAATTTAAGCAAGGTGCCAAAGGCCCAAGGCTGCTTTAACAAGTGGTAAATGGTGCCATGCTGTAATATGTCTATCTATCCACCTATCTATCTATCTATCTATCTCTGTTTACCTATGCTTACCTACACCTCTACCTATCTATCTAGCTATCTATATATCTACCGACCTGCCGATCTATCTGTCTATCTTGGCTCGCTCGCTATTCGATCGGCCGATCTATCTGTCTATCTGTCTGTCTAAATATCTAAGTGTCTACAGTGTCTCCTATGTACGTACCGTAGGTGTCTATGTATCCGAACGGACTATGTGTCTAGATAGGTCGGTAGGTAGGCAGGCAGGCAGATAGAACCAAGTATCAGCAGCACTTTTCACAGCATGGCTTGGGATTCCCTATGGCGACATAAGCCATAAGCCCTACCAACCAGTAAAACCCCATTTGTTCAAACACCCGAAATCCGAGCCTCCTAAACCCTTTAACGCTAAACCCCCACTCTTAACTTCCTATATAGGAGCTAAGAAGCGGGTTGCGGCTTCTGCAGCATCCCGCAGCTCCTCCGGATCAAAGGCGCGATCCTGCTGGATAGAAGTTTAGGGGTTTAGGGTTTAGGGGTTTCTAAAGTTAGGTTTTTTTTTATAGGTTGAGGGCCTTAGGGCTTCGGTGTGCAGGCATTAGGGGCCTGGGATTAAGATTACGGACTTCGGGTTGTGGCGATTAGACTCACGGCCTGTAGGGTTGCAGCTGCACGAAAACGCCGGATGCAGAAATGCTGATGGACGGGAGCCTACAGTACTTATGCACCCTATACTGTAAGCGTTTCCGTGGAGGCTTGCCATTGAAAGCTATTCAGGTGTTTGTCCATCAACAGAACCACTGTCGTTCATTTCTGTGGAAGAACAGCTTTGGGTTTGAGAGGTCCGGTTGGTATTAGCTTACAGCTGAAGGTTTAGGCCTGGGAGTGCGCAGACACAGGAACTGTAAGAGAAAAACATTCTTCACCCATTGAAGGGTTTTTGAAGTGTAGTGACTACTCCGTTCTCCGCACGCAGGTCAAGGCCCATCTCTACTGAGATGTACAGTTAAACATGGAGAGGGTTGAGGGCTAGGATTCTCTGTCTTCTGCTGCAATGGCTCTTGAAACGAAAAACCTCTTAAGAAAAGACTGTGAACAATAAGGGACTGTGATTTAGAAACACTACTCCTTTAACCTGACACACACGTCCTCCAACATTGCCATCACGTGCGCGTGCAGCTCGTCAGCCCTTCCGGTGGTGAACAAACGAACAGGTTCCGTGGAGCTTGCGACGTGGGAAGCGACGGAGAAAACTTAAAGTTGAGAGGTGTTACTACAGGGGCCTCAATACTTGGAAGCTTGGTCCAGGTTTAGGGTTTCCAGGTGTGGGGCCAAGACGAGCTCTACTGACAACAGACTCTCTCAGTCACGACGCAAGGTGCTTTGCAGTTGCAGTGGATCGAAGCGAACAGGAGTTTCCAGAGCCACCTACCCTGGGCTTTGAAGTAACCAGGGAGAAAAAAGTATAGACTTATTTTTCTTAATTGGCCAACAAGAATATTAAAGTATGGTACTCCAAAGCCCAGTACCCTCAATCACCATCAGCTACCCACAACCACCGCTTACAAAGTGTTATTTGATTCCTGCTGCGCTCACTCCCAAAGATCCTAGGTGCTGTTATGGGGAGTGCTTTCCCAATGCATGACAGTACGTCCTACAATAGAATTGTGACACATAGATACCCTAAACACTAATCCCAAATCCCAAACCTGGTAAGTGCATGTAGCCCACAAAGCCTGCAGTTTTACAACTTCGTCTTGTGGTTTTTTATGTGCGCTCCTTCAAAGGGTAGGTGTAGGTCACAACTTCGCTTGTCTATGGCAACACACTGACTGCGGTTTCACCTCTCAGAAGCTCGCGAGGAAGTGTACGTGGCAGACGGTTTAGGGTTTTCTGGTTTCTTTACATCACTTGGGGCCACAGATGCGTCCTAGGTCATGAAGTTCGTTTGCCTATGATAAACCACTGACCGTTTCATATGTTAGAAGCTCGTGAGATGTATATGTGGCAAGGGGTTTAGGGCTTTGGGCTTTAGGCTTTATAGGGTTATAGGGAACGGCACGCCTTTTCAAAGCAACGGGTTCAAACGAAGATGCGGCTGAATAGTTTGCCGGTGAAGCCAAGATCAACGACATTGGACGGGAACTTACACGCCAGACCCTACAATCCGAAACCCATAACCCTTACAACAAACGAAACCCTCAACCACTTATTTAACACTAAACCCTGAAGCCTCAACAGAAAACAAAACCCTCAAACACACGAAACACGAAACCCGAAAACCCCAACCTTAAACTAAAAGAAAGAAACGCTCAAAACACGTGAGCTTCATTGAAGGATTTAAGCAACCCTAAAACCCAAGTCCTAGCGAACATGCAAAAAAGAGCCTCGCACCGTCCAGCAAGTCGCACTCATTGGGCACCACGCTGCCGAAGGTGTAGCGGAACGCTGCTCCCAGCTTTCGCAGCAAAGGCAACTCGGCTACATGTCGTTTAGGGTTTATAGGGTCTAGGTTTTGGTGTTGAGGGTTTTAGTTTTAAGGTTAAAGGGATCAATTGAGTTTCTATACGTGTACTATATGTGTAGTTCTCTAAACTAGGGTCCTTTCTAAGGTCCTGTAGGAGTCTTCAATCGGGTTCCGTTTAAGGGTACTATAGGGTTCTACAATAGGTTTCGTGAGTTCTCTAAACTACGGTCCCCTTTTGGGGTCCTTCTTGTACGGGCGGCGTGCTACTTTTGGGACCTAGGAAGGCGGGGGCCTTGGCCCTTATGCTTATATGATAAACCCCATGCCACAGGTCAAGTTCGTTGCCTCTGAACACTCTGGCCCAAGACAGATTCACCGCTCTCATCATGCTAGGAATATATGAGCCCACAAAGGCTTAGAGTTACCTAGGGTACCTAGGCAGCTACTGACAGTTTAGGACCAGGATATTGAAGTCTAATGTGCGCGCCTGTTCAACCGAAATGTGCCACATTAATGTTTTTATCCTTATTCGAATCCGTACCAAAAAAGCTGGTGGCCGAATTAATGCGGTGTTCTTTTTGCTGGGTGTTTTTATTGGGAGTGGCTGTCCTGTCTGCTGATGGTTTAATCTTAAGGCACCCACGACCTAAACCCCCGCCCAAACCCTAAAACCCATGCCGACCCTGAGCCCCAATCCCCTTCTTACTTAATGAAAGCCACCCAGACCCTGAGCCACCCCCAAACCCCGGGACCATTCAAAGCCACCCAGACCCTGACCCCGGTCCGAAAGGGTCACTGACACCAGACTATGAGATTTTGCCGTCTGGACCCCCTGCTCAGTACTCTGCACCCAAGACATCTTAGTTTAGAACAAGGTTTACACAACCTCACACTCTAACCTTGAAAACCCTGCCGGCAAACTCCTCTAATAGAACCCCATCCATGAAACCCTGTAAACGAGCTCTGTGAAACACCACAAAATAAAAAAGACCCTACGTGTTGCAGGGTTTATTATGCACCCCAACACCCTAAACCTTGAACGCCCTGCAAGTACCTCTGAACCCTGAACCCGTGAACCTTAATAACCTTAACCCTAAGCCCGCGCAGCCCTCCTCCCCTGCAGTAATGTAGGAGCCTGATTAAGAAACCCTGACCCTATAACCCAGAATAGTAGGATTCATACAAGGAACCTGAATAAAGATCCAGGGTTTCTTAATAAGGTTGCAACATTACAGCTCGGTTATAAGTCCCCTAATAGGCCCTAATATGGGTCATAAGTATATATAGTTACCCTACTTATGACCCCACTTCCAACTACCCATGAACCTCTCAACACTATACTATTGTAGAATCCCTATAGATCCCTTTAAAGGGGCCCTTAAGGAACCCTTACATATAGTAACTCCAAGTAGAGCCCGAAGCAGTCGAAGGAGCCAAAGGCCATCCTGAGGCTTCCAAGTGCGACAAAGGGAAGTCGAAGAAGAAAAGAAGACCTGGGGACGGTTGATGACATAAATCCTGCATTACCCATAATGAGGAATATACCATAATTCCCATAGTTTAGGGTCGTTAAGGTAATGTAGGATTTATATCATCAAGCGGGAGCTTAGAGACTCCAACATCCCTCAAATAAGGAATAGACCTTGGATCATAGAAGGGATCCTACAACATAACTTAAGGTATATTCCTTTGTGAAGGTATATTGGAATCTCTGAGAACTCGAGGGTCGTGAAGATGTGGGGGCTCTTTAGGGCCTTAAGGGTTTGCTGCTTTAGGGTTAAGGTATCCCTAAACCCTAAACCGTGGGGAGATGACTAGGGTCCTTAAGCTGTGAGGTCTTTTGCTTATGCGATTCTGTGCCATCTTGCCAGCCTCAGGCAAGAATATCCAAGAATCCCCGGTGTGGGAAGGCAGAAACTCTGTCTTTTAAGTTAGGGGGTTACTTAAAGGATCATGGGACTTCGTAACTAGGGTTACAAGATCCCCCAGGAGCCAAAGGCCTGAATCCTGATTATTGATTAATAGTGTTCCAAAAAGCATTCCGAATGTGTTCCAGAAAAGCGTGGGGAATAGTGTTCCAGATTCGAAAGTCTTCCGAAAAGCATTCCGAGAGAGCACCCTTGAATCTGAAAGCTTCCGGCTGGAAACACATCTTGGAACACTTTTTGGAATACTTTTTCAGCAGCAGGTCATTGGCGGAACGCTTTTTTGAGAACACTTTTTGGAATGCTCTTTGGAATGCCTTTTCGGGGGCCCGTCCTCTCCAGATCCAGGTCACAAGCATTCCAAAAAGCGTTCCAAAAAAGTGTTCCGGAAAGTGTTCTGCAAAGCGCTCCGTTGGAATGTTTTTTGGAACACTTTTTGGTCAGAGGGTCCCCGTGGAACGCATGTTGGAATACTTCTCAGCTCTGCATCAAAATGAGAATGCTTTCCTCACGTTTTTCAGGAATGCTTCTGGAATGCTTTTGGAACACTATAAAAACCGATCTACCCCCCCCTTTCTTTAGCCCTCGGCATCTTGTTAAAGCTAGGGTTATAATTAGGGTAACTATACTTATAACTACTTATAACCCCAAACAAGGTACTTATATCCTTACTTACTAAGCCCCATGATCCCCATTATAGAACCCCTATAGATCCCTTTTAGGAACCCTATTCTAGAACCCTATAGTACCCTTCTTAAAAGGAGCCCTAAACCTCCTCCAAGTAAGGCCCTACACCCTAAACCCTATAGATCCCTTTAAGGAACCCTATAGTACCCTTCTTAAAAGGAGCCCTAAACCTTACTAAGTCCCATGATCCTCCAAGTAGGGTTTGCATTCGGGTTCCAGGTTCATGGGGTTAGGAGCAGCTCTCAGGGCGCCTCGGTGGTTACGGGCTTAGAAGAAGTTTAGGGTTCCTTAAAGGGATCTATGAGGGTTCTATACAGGGCTTTGGGGGGTTTAGGGGTTTAGGGCTTTAGGGTTTGGAGGTTTAGGGGTTTAGGGGATTGCGTGAGTTTTAGGGGTTTAGATTCAGGTTTAGGGTTTGAGGGTTTAGGGGATTGCGGGTTGAGTTTCAGGGGTGTAGATTCAGGTTTAGGGTTTGAGGGTTTAGGGGATTGCGGGTTGAGTTTTAGGGGTTTAGATTCAGGTTTAGGGTTTGAGGGTTTAGGGGATTGCGGGTTGAGTTTTAGGGGTTTAGATTCAGGTTTAGGGTTTGAGGGTTTAGGGGATTGCGGGTTGAGTTTTAGGGGTTTAGATTCAGGTTTAGGGTTTGAGGGTTTAGGGGATTGCGGGTTGAGTTTTAGGGGTTTAGATTCAGGTTTAGGGTTTGAGGGTTTAGGGGATTGCGGGTTGAGTTTTAGGGGTTTAGATTCAGGTTTAGGGTTTGAGGGTTTAGGGGATTGCGGGTTGGTTTTAGGGGTTTAGATTCAGGTTTAGGGTTTGAGGGTTTAGGGGATTGCGGGTTTAGATTCAGGTTTAGGGTTTGAGGGTTTAGGGGATTGCGGGTTGAGTTTTAGGGGTTTAGATTCAGGTTTAGGGTTTGAGGGTTTAGGGGATTGCGGGTTGAGTTTTAGGGGTTTAGATTCAGGTTTAGGGTTTGAGGGTTAAGGGGATTGCGGGTTGAGTTTTAGGGGTTTAGATTCAGGTTTAGGGTTTGAGGGTTTAGGGGATTGCGGGTTGAGTTTTAGGGGTTTAGATTCAGGTTTAGGGTTTGAGGGTTTAGGGGATTGCGGGTTGAGTTTTAGGGGTTTAGATTCAGGTTTAGGGTTTGAGGGTTTAGGGGATTGCGGGTTGAGTTTTAGGGGTTTAGATTCAGGTTTAGGGTTTGAGGGTTTAGGATTTTGGGCTTCCAGGCTGGAAGGGTGTTGAAGGCAGAAGCCTTGGGGCTTGACGGGTCAGGGATACTTAAAGGATCATGCGACTTAGTAACAGGGGTTATAATTAGGGTAACTATACTTATAACTACCTATAACCCGAAACAAGGTACTTATAACCTTACTTACTAAGTCCCATGATCCTCCAAGTAGGGTAAAGGAGTCAGGAGAAGGCTTGGCGTTGACAACTTGGGGGTATGTAGGAGCCTAAGTTATCAGCACTTATGTTTATGTCCTGTAGAGGCCAGGAGTATCTCTGGCTGGGTTTTAGGCTGGCTGTGTTCACCCAAGAGCTGCAAGGACTTTCTTGTTATGGTGTAACGTTTTGTGCACTCAAGCTTAGGTGCCGAGTTCATAAGCCAAAAAAAGTTTGAACTTTCAGTTTTAAGAGGGTTTCATTATCCCAAAAAGTTTAAAGTTCATAAACTCAGCTACTAAGCAAGGGTTCATTGGGTTCAAGGCTTGGGGTGCAAATTTTTTAAAGTGTAGGATAGCTTAGGGCTCCGAGTTTAGATGTTTGGGTTCAGGGCTTCGGATTGCTATGTTCTCCGGACGAAGAGGAGGGGGCCCTGATTCAGCTAATGGTTCTAGATTACTGGGGTCCATTGGTGTCTGGAAATCTTGTGTGAGGACCCCCTCGCAGGTCTCATAGTGCGAACCCTGATGCGTGCTGGGGCTTGCCTATGCGGGTGGCTTAGGGTCTCGTATCCCATGTTACCGTCTCCATACCAGTATCCGGAACCTTAAAAGAGCAAAACTACATTCCAAGTTTTGGGACTGAGGGGTTAAGGTGTCGTGCAAGCATCGAAATCACAAAGGAACACAACAAGGCCGTTTCAGACTCAACAGGGGCAATCAACTGCCTGTCAAAGTGGAGCCACTAGGTCCACGAGGTCTCATAGGTCATAGGCTCATACCCTAAACTTCTACGTCCCATGTAGAACTGATCACGAAAGCCTCTGAGCAAGCCTCAACCTTTGCTGACCCCGGTCAAAAACCGTAGCTTGAAATCCAAGTATTCAGGGATACCCGAAACGCCACAAGCCCCAAACATCCTGAACCCGTTTATATATCATAAACCCCATATCCTATTTCCGAGCCCCACCACGCTCCAAACTTCCTATAGAAACCCAAGTCTGATCCGTCTTCATCCCAAAATCGACAAGGAGTCGCTTGACAAGCAAACGGGCCTTCGAGTTCCAGCTGCACCTTGACGGGTGCACACAAGGGAGGCGACGGCGTGCACTTTGCAGTTTGGAGATACCGGGGTTTTGAAGTTTTCGGGGGGTTAGCGCACTTAGGGTTTAGGGTGAGTGTAAGTGTTTGCTTCTCGCCCCTCGTCGCTAATCTCGGTACACAGCTTTCATCCCAAGTAGAAGACGACCAGCGTTTATGGACCGAAGCGGTCAAGTTAGGCTTAATTAAGGGTTTAGAGGGCCTCTAAGCGTCTGGGGATTTATGGGTGTGGCTGCGAGACGCCCTAAGCACCCTGAACTCCCTGGTTTTTCATACTTGCAGGATCATGGGACTTAGCAAGTGAGGCTATGAGTACCTTAATTGGAGTTATAAGTAGTTATAGGTACAGTTACCCTCATTATAACCCTGGTTACTAAGTCCCATGATTCTTTAAGTAGGGAATGGGGGAATGGGTTACAGGGACACCTTCAGGGGCTACTCTAGGGATCCATTGCCCCGTTCCTAAGACCCACGGAGTAATTTCAGCAGGCAGGCAAGCAGGCAGACAAGCAGATACATGAATCAGACATGCATGTATTGCAAATATGAACTACGAAATTATGCCACACAAGAAGCATGAATACCTGAACAAACCATGCATTAAGGTTCCTTAATCAACTGAATTAAGCATGGGCCCCTGTTCTCACCATTAGGGCCCCTGTACTATACCCTTGCGGAGGCCTTCCTCCACAGCATCTCGTGCACCTGAGCATCCGCATTGTGAGCTACCCCGCTGATGTCAACCTTGGCTGAAGGCTTATACGGTTTAAGTTTAAGCTTCAGGGGTTTAGGGGTTTAAGGGTTAGAACGTAGAGAATGCGTTGCCCCGTACTTCGGGGCTCAGGCTCTGTGACTTTGGACTTTCCGGTTCCGGGCCTTGGAAACTCTCAAACCCTGAACCTTCTTTGGGGCTTCAAGTGTGCAGTTTCAGGCCACTCAGAGGGCTCATGGTTTAGGTAGGGTTGGGCTGAGGGTTTAGGGGCCGATTTAGGCTTTGCTGGACTGTATGTTCAGTATCTTACAAGATCTGGGCCGCTTGGTAGCTTTTGTACCTTCGACGTTCAAGTTATAGACTGTTTTCTCTCTTTCAGATACGTATCTTCCGGTTTCGGGGATTCGAGTGTGGCTTCGAGTAGGCTGCCCTACTGCTCCTACCTTCTACGGATGTTCAAACCCTTCCTTTCCCCCTTAAATTCTATGTTGGGTCTCCATGTTGATAGAAAAAACGCCAGAACAAGAAGAGGTGTGGTTGCTGTGGGTACATCCGGTGCTGGGCAGGATGAAGGCCACAGCAAGAAGGCACGTCAACTGTCTCAGCGTGGGCATGTGTTTAGGGTTTACAGGGGTGAACCTCGAGGGTCGGTCTTAGTAGTTAGAACAGCTTCTGTGCATATGATGATCACTGACAACGGGTTAAATGCCTACTAATTACAAGCTCTGAACAGTTGAAGGAAGATTCTGGTACGGGGGCTACACGGTGGTACTCTTACCGATCTTGCAGGCCTTCGGATTATAACAGCATCAGACTTGAGGCGGCTTCTCGTGAGTTGGCTTCTGGCTCGTGGTGTGATGTTGCCGCGCGTTTTGTTCTGTTATGAGCGGCATTCCACGTGTCGTCTGAAGCATTGAGCCTTCAAGCCTCGAACCCCGACACCTTCAGGCACAAGCGAATCGGGGTAGCTTACTCTAAAACTGGACAGGGGATGTCCAGAAAGTCGCCATTATGTTTTGGATCGTTGAAGTCGTTTATGTTTGCTGAGACTTGGTGTCGGTGAACCCTTAAGCTGAAATCCTAAACCCCAAACCCTCAAGCTGAAATCCTGAATCCTAAACCCTAAAAATCCTGAAATCCCTTCTTGTCAAAGCTCCGCGGTGCAGCGGTGGACGCAGAGGAGCTCAGTGACTGATAGCACCATTGTGCCCAGGTAGCAGTCGGCCTGTCTTCTTCCTTAACCTACCGAAACCTTCTGTTTTTGTAGGGTCCGTATACAATCCATATTAGGACATATAATGCGGACCTACAAAAAAGTAGGTTCTGGTAGTTTAAGGTACGAATTCCTGAATGCTAAGGGGGCCAGAAACGGAGAGTCCCACTCTTTGTGGGGTTGCTCTCCGCTGTAGCCTAGCTTAGCACGGCAGAAGGTTTACAGATCAAGGGCTGGCAGGTTCTAAGCCGTCAGCCCTCTTGTGCAACTGCCCTAAGGCCCCAAAGCAGTTCCTTTTTGGGGTTCATATATAGAATCCTATAAGGTAATCCCAGAAACGAAAGTAGTTCCTTTTGGGGGTCCATATATAGAATCCTACAAGGTAATCCCAGAAAGGAACTACTTTGGTGCCTCTGGGTGAAGGCAGGCCTGGTAGCAGCCCTCGAACCCTCGGACCTACACCCTACACCCTAGACTTAGGGTTTAGGGTTTAGGGTTTTGGGGTTACTTGCCTTTGGTCAGTAGGGAATGGAAGAATGGCAGTAATAGTAGTGATAATTGTACCCCATTCCTCCATTCCCTACTAACCAAAGGTAAGTAGATACTGAAAGCACCGAAGATCAGACTCGCCAACACAAGAGCTTAAACCCTGCAATCACATTGTAGGGTGAGCCGGCTTCCGGACCAAAATGACTATGGTAAGCTTACAGCCCTAAATTCACCAATAGCCTTCGCAGCGCTGAAGGGGAAGTCCGCCACATCAACGTCTCCGTTCCTGGGATCTATCAATCTTGGCTGGAGCTTTGTTTTGGAGTTTAGGACTAGGGTTTCCAGGCGTGAGGTGATTGGATTCATGGGGTTTTGAAAGCTTAGGAAACTATGGGTCTTCAGGGTCGACAAGTTTGGGATTCGGTGTTATATTGATAAAAAAAAACATATAACTTAACCACAAAAATACAATAGATAGATAAAACACATAGGCTCAACTCAATTTTGACAACTCAACAGCAGCCAGCCATTCCCTCGCATGCTGTTAAACTGACTCTCTGGATCCGAGCTTACCTGTCTTGATTCATCTTGAGGTTTAAAGCTTAAGGGTTTTGGCTTAGGGTACGATTTGGGGGCTTGAGTTGAGCAGATCTGGGACGACAGGTTGCATGGCTTCGGGGTGAGTTTTCGTGACGTGAGCATAAAAAGCCCATTTTGCAAGTCTGGTGCAGGGAGCAGATTGAGAAGGAACGTTCGAGCTTGAAACACACCTGGTCCGCTCTGCGAGGAATCAGGACGTGCAGCTAGCAACCAAAGTGTTGGTGCGTTTGCACGCACCTGCAAAATGAAGTTCAACATCAACACCGAGAAAAGTCAAGCCGTGATACAGCATCCTGAATAATCAGTCAGAAATGGGTTTTGCAGCCTCTATTCTTCTACACTTCTAGATCATGGGGGGATATGGTTACTGACTACCTGTAGGCTCATGCCCTACCCCTGCTTGTAGGGTATCTACTTGTCTATACAACGGATCCTAACCATAAAACTAGGTATATACCCTAAAAAACGGATCAGGTATGACTACTTGGGGGTTCATGGGTAGATATATATATATATATATATAAGTGTATATATGTATCAACAAGTAAAGTTATAAGTCCCCTAATATGAGTTATAAGTATAGTTACCCTACTTATAACCCCACTTGCAACTACCCAAGAACCTCCAAGTCATACTTATTCGGACCCCGGCCCTCGCCGGTCAGCTCCCCGATGGACATGGACAGAGATGGCCCTGTCATGGGCCCCAAAGATCCGAAACTACGAGAGTACTTTAGTTCCTCAGATGCCCGTTTAGGGACAGAGATTGGAACCTGGCAATTGAAGCACCGCACGCTGCGACAACAACACAACGCAAAGTGCTCCCAACGCCTTTAAAAGCGAAACCTAAACCCTAAACCTATAAACCCTAAACCCGTAAACCATCCCAAACCCCGAAACATCCAGAAACCCTGAAACAAAACAACCCTTAACAAGGAAACTGTTCAAAAAACACGACTTCTGCAGGTCTGCGGGGACATGTTACTAAGCCTTCCCACCTCTACGTTCCCGCACTCTGCTGAGCCGAGATGCGCATGGCGCCACATCGCCTCCGATGGAAGGCAAGGCTTGCGAAGCAACATCGGGCGGTCCCGGAAATTAAGGATCCCTTTTTACTGGCGTCGCTGGGTCGATATCTGTTTAAGAACACTACACCCCCAAACCCGAAACTCTAAGCCCGAAACAGCTTCCGGGAGGAGGATCAGGTCTGAGGCTCTTGGGGTGCTGCCAAGGAACCGGCAAGTCTTCCTTACAGCCATCGCAAAAGGTGTCCTGTTGGGGGCCGTGTCGCTGATGGAGAAAACCCTCCACTGTCCATAACAAGGAATACCTTGGCTCCTCGCTACTTCTTTCCTTAGATGAGCCCTTAAAAAAAGGTGAGCTGCTCAGGCTGTCCAGTTACAGCCTATATCCCATCAGTACTTGAAGGATCATGGGACTTAGTAAGTAAGGTTATAAGTACCTTAATTGGAGTTGTAAGTAGTTATAAGTATAGTTACCCTAGTTATAACAGTTACTAAGTCCCATGATCCTTTAAGTATCCCATAAACGCAGACACTGCAGTCCCATGGTTGAAGGCAGCGAGGGTCCGTGACCCTCTGGAAACCTAGGTTTAAACGGATACGCACTGCAGACCTAGACAGGAGTCAAATGTTCAACGCTGCGCAGGATAGATAGAGAGCTAAACCGATAGACAGGCAGGCAGACAGACACGCAGATAGATGGATACGCAGATAGATAGCCGGCTAGATGCAGACACATAAATCGACAGGTATAGACAGATAAGTAGACAGACAGATGGACAGGAAGAGTGCCAGACAGACAGAGACAAAAAGAGCCAGAAAGCGACAGAGAGCAAATTAACAACCACAATCAAACAGCGATGAGAGAAAGGGAACACACATCTAAAAGATTGAAATAATCCTGGAATAGTTAATAGGAGTCAACCAGCGGCTTTGCTCCGCCTCGCTCCGTTCCGCGATGGCCCGGGCTCGTTGCTTGACACTAGCCCACCTGAGGTCTGGCCACCCTATAGGGCTCCAGTTACCCAAATTTTGGGAACTCCAGAAAGTTGGAATATGGTTTCTTGGTAGGATACCCTATAATTTACCATAGAAGGGTTAGGATAATCATATTCCAACTTTCTGGCTTTTACCTTAGTAGGTTCCTAACCATCTACTCCGTAACCCAGCAGCTCCTTATTTAGGTAACTGGAGCCTCGAGACAGGGTAACTCTCAAGTCAACACTTTTTTGTCGTGGTGAGAGCTTGTGAAGCGTTGGGTTTAGGGTTTAGGGGCATTTAAATCTTCGATTCCTTTATCTCAGGCACCTTGCAAATTCGCGCAGGATCGAACTGTCTTACTCTGGCAAGCCATGCGCATCAGGCAGGTCCTAATTGTGGATCCACAAGGCCCTCCAGGCGCTGCATCAAACGGAACTGTCTCAAGCTACCTCTAGACCTAAGAGTAAGCTAGGAATTAAAAGGGTGCCCTTTTTGCTTTTAAGGGGCTTATAAGGGAACCTGAACCCTAAAAAAAGGAATAAGGGCCTACTCTGGGTCCTAGACCTTCCCGAAAGCAACAATCCGGGAGCAATCAAAAAACACAATTCTCGGCCACGAAAGCCTCAACCCTTGCCTTAGGGTTCAGGATTTAGGGTTCTAAATCCCGAACACCCGACACCTAGAAACCCTAAGCCTCCCCGACCCAAACCCCCAAACCCTGGAATTTCAGTGGAGGCGCAGGCCGTTGCATGCAGGCCTCGATAGGTCGATGTCGGAGAACTGCGTCAACTCCTCACTTCGTTTCTGGCTTTGTTGAGGGTCTAGGTGATGTAGGTTTAGGGTGTAATTTGGGGTCCAGGGGAAACTTTGGACTCGGTTTAATTCGGAATTCATGTTTTGGGTTTAAGGGGAGACTTGGAAAAGCTTGCTTGGCCTCTGAAACATCATCTTCCTGAACCAAAAGGTTCATATACCCAGACATGTGTTGTATGTATGTGTAATATATATATATATATATATATATATATATATATATGTATAGATATGTATATACATATATATATATATATATATATATATATTGGCCTTCGAGTACTTCCTATGTAGGTACTTTTGGGCAAACTGTACTATTTGGGCACATGGAACCCTAGGGGAAGTTCACTCGCTGATCTGCAGGAGTTGCTTGAGAAGGATGACTCTCGCCAAGTTTAGTCTAGAGTGTACGGCCTAGGGTCTAGGGCCTAAACCTGTTGATGTATGCAAGTAGTATCTAGTTGCTGAGATTGATGATAGTACAGCATGTTAGTTAAGAAGAGGGCAGACAAGTTCGTACTTCTGCAAAGGATTAGGTTTCCTTGCCGGGTTTGAGTTATAAACCCTGAATCCCTGTAAACCAACCCTACACAATCCTAAAAGCCTAAACCCTGAACCCCAAAATTCACAAACCCTAAAATCCCTAACCCCTGCAATTACGTTCCGCAAGGAGAACCCAGCAGGCCCTCAGGGAAAGCCTTGTCTGCCCAAAAGAAGGAAACCTGGTAGTTGAAGAACCTTCGCGCATCGTTAGATTGGTTGGTTGGTTGGCTGGCTGGCTGGCTGGGGGGGTGGGTGGTTGGTTGGCTGGCTGGCTGGCTGGCTGGGTGGGGGGGTTGGTGGTTGGTTGGTTGGTTGGTTTAGGGTTTACGGCTTAGGGGTTAGGGTTTAGGATCTTTTACAGGGTTCTGTTGGGTACCATGACCTCGCTCTTTTTTGTGAGGGATGCAGTTTCAGAGTTTAGCAGAATCTCAACAGGTGTCAAAGCTTGGGGTGTAGGACGTATGAGGATCAGGGCTAGGTGTGAAATACTTGGGGCTTAGGATCTATGGTTTTGGCTCTTGGTTTCAGGCATTACTGAAAGGATCGTGGGACTTAATAACTAGGGTTAAAATTGAGGTAACTCTACTTATATCTACATATAACCCCAGTGAGGGTACTTCTAACCTTACTTACTAAGTCCCATGATCCTCCAAGTATGGGTGACCTTCTTAGAACGGGTTGAGGGTTTAGGTCTTGGACTCAAGGCTTTGGGCCTAGAGCTTCTAAGGTCTACGAGTTAGGCGGATGCCGCCCTAAACCCAAAGGCCCCAAAGTAGTTCCTTTTTGGGGGGCTCATATATAGAATCCTATAAAGGTAATCCCAAAAAGGAACTACTTTGGGGCCTCTGGGTAAACCCTAAACCCCATACAACTCTAAACTTGACTTTGCTTTCCTTGGCTGCGGGGACGCTTCCTGCTAAGGTCGGGGATGACATTGGGGGATTCAGTCTTTAATCACTGGGGCTTTGTGCTTGAGTCTATAGGGTTTCATCAATGGGCAGATTCGCGGATTTCGGCTTATGTTCATATCTTTTGGCTTTGCACGAGTTCCAGTTTAAGGGTTAAACGGGCTTCAAGCTGTTAGCACGCGCAGCCACAACTTCTACACAGACATATGCTGCCGATGATAATGAAGATTATGATGATGCCGGTAACGGCGGTCATGGTGACCATAGCAGTACGATTATCTTGTCGTTTATAACTGCTTTTGCAGCCCGTGCTGTTGCAACAGTCAACGATGTTGACAGTGGTGGTGACTGCTGACTGCGATGGCCATGACCGCCGCCTCCAAGGGCGCCCCCGAACCTTAAAACTTGAACCCTAGAATTTTTAGGGTTTCGGGCCATAAACACCATGCAGATCCAAAAGCTGTGAAACCCTGCCCAAAGCCCGTAACCCCTCCGGTAAATCTCTAATGCGAAACCCCTAAACAAGGCCTGAAGCCTAAACCTAGCCCTAAATCCTATACCCTGAAAATCTGCAACTTTCATGCTTAGCTTGGCTGGCTACCCTAACCCCTAAACCCTAAACCAGCCTTGCGAGGTGTGGGTTGGCATCCATCTGCTGAAGCCTCGTTTCAGCTTGGGTCGAGCTTTTCCCGACTCGGTGTATTAAAACCACCAAAATAGCATTGGTGAGAAATCTAAGGTACCATTGAACCAATGCTTCCCAGCCCTATGTACATTTTCATACCCAGACGCAGAAGTGGCTAACTTGGCACACTACAGGGCCCAAAGTAGGTAGATACTGCCTGTATACCTCAAGCGCCCATAGCCTACGGATGAAGACTTGGATTTGAAGCTTCCCGGGTTCGGAACGAAGGTTTCATAGTCAGGCCTACCCTTGTGGTTTCGTCTCATCTCTAGCACTTCCGACATCCTCCATGATCGAAACACTTCAACCTCCGCCCCAAAGACTTCAAACCATAACCCATAAAGCTCCCCCAGACCCTCATACCCCGTAACTTAATCTAAACTGAGGCAGAGCACCGGTATATATAGCCCCATGGCCCTTGCAGAACTGATACCAGCACAGGCCAAGAAGCAGTCCCTGGATCCCGAAATCCGGATAGCTTCCTCTCAAGTGGGCACAAAGCCATCAATGCATATGGCGTTTGGGATTTGTAGGCTTATAAGGGTTTGATTAGTTTTTTATGGTGGACTGCAGGGTGTTATAACAAGGCTTTGGTTTGAAGCAGTCTCCCCGACGATTGAAAGGACACACATTGCTTCCCGCAAAGGGTCCAAAGTACCTGTACAGTAGAATGTAGGTTCTATATTAGGAATTCTTATTATGATTTGGGGAAGTATTCCCCATAACAATACCTAGGACCCTTTGGGTCCTACTGCTCGAGCCCTGAATCCGTAAAAAGGTCTCACAAACAACGACACTGTAAATGCACCCGCGGCTTTCAACGTCTGAGGTCGAGTTCTAGGCCAGGCAGGACTTGAAATAAGCACCACACATGGACACTTACATATAGATGAGTCTGTAGATGTATATACACATATACACACACCATGCACATGTGTGTATATATATATATACATACATACAGGGCTCAGAAAACTGACCAAGAGCGGTCAGATAGCTGAAGGCCCCAGTGCTCTCGTAGCACGCCTAGCTCGAGCCATCGGTCTGCATCGGCGCAGCCCCGCGTGGCATCGAAGAGCCAGAGCTTCTCGCTCTAAAGCGAGGAAGCGCACCCGTGCCTCAAAAAGGCTCGGCCTTCCTGTGCGGCTCCCCGATTTCCTTCGCCTTCGTCGTCACCACTCTGCCCCGCAGCCTGCTCCTCCTATGGGCAGGAAAGGCAATCGCGACCAGGGATGGCGAGGAGACCATCAGGGCCACGGCTGGGACGATGGCGGTGGCCGATCATGGGGTATTTGGCCTGGTGCCTATTCCCCACCGGGTCACTGGCGTGGGAAAGACAAGGAGTCCAAGAAGGGGTCCGCCAAGGGTCGCGAGATACCTGGTTATGCCTCGAAGACCGTGGAGCGAGAGGAGACTTCTCGGCCCAAGGCAGCACCAGCTGCGGACCCGAGACCTACTGGAGACCTTGTTCCGAGGGTTCAGCACGCACTGAACATGGCACGCAAGGCCGAGACCAAGGTTGCCAAGCTCTACGCGGACAGAGAGAAGCGCGAGAAGCAGATGGCTGCCTGGGAGGAAGATATGAAGGCTGCATGGCTACGCGAGAAGAGGCAATTTGCCTCCGAGATGGAAAGGTCCGCCAAGGACATCCAAGAGGCCCTTTCAGCACAGGAGCAAGCTCGGGATCACCTCCAAGCCACTTTCATGGCATCCATGGATGGAGCAGCTGCCGAAACGGCTGTTATGGACGTCGAGGAGGACGCCGATGCCGAGTGGAACAGCACTATGGCAGCATGGAACCAAGAAGCACGAACGATTATGGATGGTGTTCTGCAGAGAGCTTTAAGTGCCAGGAGTACTGTGACACCCGTGCGTCGGACAGGGCCGGCTATGACACCACCCGCTCGAAGTGGTGGCGTGGCAGCCACGACAGAGGCTCCCACACCGCAATTCGGAGGACTATACACGGGTGGTGGTTCGCCTGCACTCCTGGATCCTTACATGGCCAGTCCGGCACCGGGCTTTTCTGCTGGGACGCCTCCTGGCTTGGCACCGGGTGCTATACCTACCATGCCTGGTGGGAATGGGGGCCGGGGCGAGCCATCAGGCTTGCCAGCCGACACCGCTGCGGGCAGAATGTGGGATCCCCTCCACCTTGGAACTCGCGAAGAGGCTCGTGGCGGGGCAGGAGCCACCTATGGACCAAGTCCCAACCAGGACAGAGCCACACGCAGACATGCTCTTGCTCCTTTTGGCTTGCCGACTGGACCGCCTTTGGAGCGACCGCCTCCTCCCCCTGTCTTTCCTACAGTGGGGAACCAGCATCCAGGCCCAACCGATCCGAGGGCAGTGAACTTCGTGGAGGACGATTCCAACGAGGGCGAAGGCGAGGGCACTTGAGCCGCGGCAAGTCCCGCTCCTGGGCGTTATGGCGGGCACTTTCGGACCTTGGTGCACTATGGGGTCCTGGTATCCTCGCAGCTTCATTGGGGAAGCTGCCTGGGTCAATGTTACCCCCTGGTGAACACCTTGGTTCGACAGTGTGCGCCATGATATACCACGGAGCAGCGCGGTGTCACCCCTGTAAGTATACTACTGCTTACCTGGGCTCAACGCAGTTCCACTTACAGCTAGGTTGCTGTACAGTTTTGTCTTCTAGGGTACCGATACGACAGGCCTCCCTCTGCGCGGGCTCCTCCCTTTGTCAGGCTTGCCTTTGGAATTCTGGCCATTATAGCACGCATCCCTCGTTGCGCTCCTCTTTGGAGATCCTGGTCAGTTCTCCACGTCGCTTTGGGGTGCTCAGGATCATCCACCATTGGGTTTGTGGTGGGGGTCCTGGGCTTTCCCATGTCTCCTCTGGGTCTGATCGTGCCTCTTCTTTTGGGAGTGTGCCATCGGCCCCCCCGCCGCACTGGGCCCCTACTCCAACAGGCCCTAGTTTGCAATTTGAAAACCCAGCACCATGGCCGTGGGCGCTAAATACCTGCATCGGTAGCTCAGGGGCAGGAGCCACGCGCCATGTTGCATCCCGATGGCCATGTATTGGCCACTTAGGGTTTAGCCCTCTCCCTTTTGGGACCCTAGTCCTCTCCCCGATTCCTGGTTTTGGAGTCTCGCTTATGCAGGCTGTTGCCTCTTTTGTCGTGCCCCTTGCAAGGAGCATCCTGGGTCTTCTCTTCCTTGCTCTCTGCAAGCTTTTGCTTTGGCATCTTCCAAGGCATAACTCTCCACTAAGCAGGCTCACCCAACTCCCGACTTACGGGGTACCCCCCCAAGCCGTGTTGGGTTTTCGCTCCTTCTCGCCTTCCCTGCAGGTGCACACAAATTGGCGGCTGCCGCAAGCTGTCCGATATGCTCCTCGCGCAAGGTCGACCCATACTGGGCGATGCAGGCTCACTAGGCTGCTGCGAACTTTGTTGGGTCTTGCCAGCCTCCCATGCTGTGTTCAATGCATGCAGCCAGATGACTCTTCGTTTCCTGTTGCTTCTGAGCACGCCGCCACTACTGGGCCAGATCATGTAATGTCCACAGCCCCCTACCTTGGGAGCTCTAGGACAGATGTCCCCAGGTGGCCCCATGCAGAGGACACTACAACTGAAGAGGACACTTATGTGCAAGCTGCTGTCCTTCAGGCCGGGTTCCGTACTGTTGTGGTGCAAATCAGGCAGCCGGTTCATGTTGATGAATCCGCTTTGTGCCTAGCGGTGCGAGCTGGGATGACACAGGATGAACACCTTGAACAAAGCATCATCCTGCCAACATCCGTGCAACCTAATGAGGACTCTCTCGCCTTTGTGCAGATTCCCAAATGGGTCGCTTACTCTGGACAGCGAGTTGTTGTCGTCGACCTCTCCGCTTTCCATGAAGTTGTTTTTGCAGCCTTTATGCCAGTGGTGATTGAGTCACATGTTCTCGAACAGGTTGCAGAACAATACGGGCTTGAACCATGGGCTGTTTACCTCGACGATGATCCCGAGCGCCAGGAGGGCACACTTAGGGTTTTATCAGGCTCGGTGCTTCGATTCATTCCCTTCAGCGGTGTCCCATCCTTAGCCACAGACATTGTCAGTGTGCTCATGTCTGAAGACTTCAGACCTAGAGAAGTGCCCCCTTCCCTTCTCGGGGCCGGCCCTCCCTCGTGGCTCACTCTCTGCGAGAATTCTATGTCTGTTGTCACGCATGACGCTGCTGACACAGTTGCTCTGCAGGAGGGTATTCTCCGCCGGATCGGCGAGACAAGAGATAATATTCTTTTTGTAGAGCCCTCCGACGGCACACTTGCTGCTTCGGTCTTCCAAGGAGGCCGCGCTGTCGGCGGCATCTTATATATAGGAGCCGTCGTCAATGGCGTAAACAATGAAGACGGATCCGATACCAAGGTTCCAGTGTTTGTGGACGCCCGCACTCTGAGCTGCGGCATCTTTGTCGCACAGTGTCCGGTTGGATCCCAACCAGCCAGTATATTCCTCTCCCTGATCGACATGCATCTTCCGACAGGTTTTGAGGTGTGCATTCATGGCTGCGACTCTGTTGAACCGCAGGTGCAAGTTGTTTCAGGTATGGTTGTCACCGTTCATGCGAAACCCTCGGATGGGGGCAGTTGCACAGTGTTGCCCCTTGGTTCCCGAGCGGATCCTTTTGAAGTCTCTTTCGTGACCAAAGCAGTGCACTTTGCGATTTACGCGCCCTTCTGCACTCCTGAGATCGTTAGCATCGATATTGATTTCCCTGCTGGCGAAAGTGAAACTGGTGAGATGCTGTCCCTTGCCAGGGGCATCGACGATGCGGCCCGATTTGAGTTTATGCTGCCAGTACGACCGCAGCCACAGGTTGAGCATGGTTGTATCCTGGCCTTACCCCTTTGGGCTGAAGCCAAGGTCGTCATCATGCTTGATTCTCGACAGGTTGATGGGAGAATCTTCTCTCTAGTCGTCGACCCATGGATGCAATGGGGATCGTTCCTTCTGCAAACCGGTCTGGAAGGTTATGCCAATCTTGACGTGTATCTGCGCCAACGCCTCACTCAGTCCGGTCGTCCAGTGACTTTTGAGCAGGGCGACCTTGTCACCGTTCTTCCTCGTGCCTCTCCGTTGCCGGGCCTTTTTGATTTGCCATTCAAGCTCAATAGAGCCGCAATGTGGGCCACCGAGGTTCCGAGGCCGGTTGTTGAGGGCAGGAATACCTTCTTGCTTCTTACTGACGGGTTGCCACGCCTAGCACTGATCGATAGGCGGCAGATCCGGGAAGTCGATGACTTCCGTGATGCAGCGGCAGCCGCCCTCTACTGCCCAGCGGACACATTGACTTGCAGGGTTACTCGCCCAAGGATCCAAAACTGTATGTACCTGGGGACGCCCTGTGAAGCTGTGCTGTTAGCAACTGCTGCCTTACGTCGCATCCCCGTTCCCCCAGGGCGAATGTATGCACCTCAGGTTGTTGTTTTCTTTGATCTTCGTGCTGTGCTTCAGGGTTTCTCCTG